GGAGTGATAGCACAGCGGGTAAGGCTTTTGCCTTGCACGTGCCCGACCCCGGTTTGATTCCTAGCATCCCATATGGTCCCCCAGCACTGCCAGGAGTAACTCCTGAGTGCAGAGCCAGGAATAATCCCTGTGCATTGCCAGGTGTGACCCAAAAACCAAAAAAACAAAAACAAAAAAGAATAACAGTAAGGGAACCATAAGGCCCAAAAGGAAAGGGAGGGGGAGAGAGAGAGAGAAAGAGAGAGAGGAAAAGTGTGTCTGCCATAGAGGCAGGCAGGGGGGCTAGGAGCAGGAAGGAATTGGGGACATTGGTGATGGGAAATGTACACTGGTGAAGGGACAGGTGTTGGAACATTATAGGACTGAAACCCAATCATGAACAACTTTATAACTGTGTATCTCACTGTGATTCAATTTAAGAAATTAATTTTTTAAAAAAAGAATTTCTAAATAAATGTAATCAATGTAGAGAAGAGTTAAGTAGAAATCATCTGCCTCACAGGCATTTGGAGGGGTGGGAGGGGGGCATACTGGGGTTCTTGGTGGTGAAAAATGAGTACTGGTGAAGGGAAAGGTGTTTGATCATTGTATGACCGAGACTTAAACCTGAAAGCTTAGTAACTTTTCCCACAGTGATTCAATAAATAAATATAAAAATAAAAAATAAAATAAAAAATTAAGGTGGAGTTCATGCCCAATTCAATCAGCTAATCAGTGGCTGAATAAATAGCAGTACTCCTACAAAAATAAAAAAAGAATTTCTATAAAGAAATTCCATATTCATGGATTGGAAGGACTCAACATTGTAAGATACTAATTATTCTCTGTTTGACCTATAGATCTGATTTGCATTCCAAATAAAAACCTCTGAAAGCAATAAAAAAAATTAGCAAATAAATAAAAATAAGACAGAAAAAAATAGCAGTGAGGCATTTAGGTGCTGCCTTGCATATGGCCGAATCCCTGGCATTACATAGGATTCCCTGGGCACTGCCAGGGATCATTCCTGAGCATAGAGCCAGGAATAACCCCTGAGCACTGTCAGATGTGGCCCCCAAACCAAAATAATAATAATAATAGTAGTAGTACTGTAGTACTGTCCTCCCATTGTTCATCAATTTTCTCGAGCGGGCACCAGTAACATCTCCATTGTGAGACTTGTTGTTACTGTTTTTGGCGTATCGAATACATCACAGGGAGCTTGCCAGGCTTTGCTATGCAGGTGAGATACTCTTGGTAGCTTGCCGGGCTCTCCAAGAGGGCGGAGGAATCGAACCCAGGTCAACCGCATGCAAGACAAACGCCCTACCCACTGTGCTATCGCTCCAGCCCAATAATAGTAGTACTAGTAGTAATAATAATAATAAAAAGAGTCCCCAGGTCCGGGCAGCATGTAATTGCTGTTAAAGAGCCCCAACTGCAAGAAAGCCTGGCCGGAGCTGTCTTGTTGCTCACCACATTGCCAGTCCCAAGTTTTCTTCTAGGAGTTGGCAGTACAGTGGGCAGGGCACTCACCTTGCATCTGGTCGACCCGGGTTCAATTACTGGTACCCCATATGGTCCCCCAACCCCCACCAGGAGTGATCCCTGAGCTCGGAGCCAGAGTAAGGCCTGAGCACCACCAGGTATGGCCCCAAAACAAACAAACAAAACAGGTTTTCTTCCACATGAAGATAAGAACCACCATTCACAAGAACTGGATTTTGTACTCACGTCAGAATCTTTACACTGTGCATTTCCAATCTTCATGGAAAATCTAAGCAGGAATTTGACCTGTATTCTCATTTTATGGATAAGACAAATAAACAGAGGGCACAGGCCACGGAGAGAATGAGGAACTCTTCCAAGGCTACCAAGCCAGGGAAGAGCAGTTTGTTGTTTTGTTTTTTTGGAGGTTTTATGTTTGTTTGTTGTTGTTGTTGGGTGTTTTGGCCACACCCAGTCATGCTCAGGGCTTTCTCCTGGTTCTGTACTCAGAGATCACTCCTGGCAGGCTTGGAGAACCATATCAGATTCTGGGGATCAAACCCAGGCCAGCTGCATGCAAGGTAAATGTCCTACCTGCTGTACAATCTTTCTGGCCCCTAGAGCTAGAGTCTCTCTCTCTCAGGTCCATGCCCTTGACCCCTGTGCTAACTCAAGGGGTTGGGGGATGCTTTTAGAAAACAAGTCCAGTGTTATGCTGTTTTCTGAAAGTAACGCAAAGCGAAGAGAATCTAAATGGTTGGCTAGAGGATTGGGCCGGAGGGATAGCTCAGAGAGCTGGCCTGCATGCTTTGCCTGCAGGAGTCCTGGGTTCCATCCCTGGCACCCCAGGCTCCCCTAAGCACCCTAGGGAGTAACCTCTGAGCAGTGAGCTGAGGTGTAGCTCCTGAGCACTGTCAGGTGTGGCACGAAAAAAAATAATAAATTGGCTCAAAGCCAAAGACTGCCATGGCCAGTGTGGACAGTGTGGACAGTGTGACTGCCATTTGGAGCCAGTGTGACAAGCTAAATGCCTCACAAAGGATACTCATCCCTCTGCCCAGCCCAGTCTTAGCCTGGAGAATTTCCCCAAGAGCTTATACATTTCCTGAGTCTGGATCTTGCTGAAGTTGGGCAACTCTGAAAAGGTTGTGATGCCCCAAAATTCAGAGATAATCCCCTCAGCCAAGATTCTGCTGGGATTCAATACTGAGACTGTGGCTGGTGCTGGGCCTTTCCTTACTTGGGCCTCTGGCCGAGGTGCCTCTCAGGGTCTGGGGTTGCTCCCATCCCCAACATCCTGGGACAGGACAGGGACCTTCCTGTGTGTCAGGAACTGGCTGCTTCAAATAAGAGAGTTTCAGGCTTCAGTCAAGAGAGTTTTCACCCCCATTCTGGCAAGAAGAGGCGTCCATTGGTCAGATCTGCCCACAGACTCTGGCTCAATGTGATGCCCATAGGTCAGGGCAGTGACGAACATGTTAATAGGTCGTCTTCATTCTCTCAGGATAGGTTGACACGGCAAGGAGTTGGGCAAGGGATGGCGTCCAGGCCCAGTCCTGGACACCAGGCTTATTTGAGATTGAGTATGGAAGAAGCTACTTTGATCTCACTGGGAATTTATTTTCCTATTCAGAAAATGGGGCAGGGAGTGGAAATTTCTTTTAATTCTTCCCTTTTTGGGGGGGAGGTCACACCCGGCCATGCACAGAGGTTACTCCTGGCTTCGTACTCAGGAATTACTCCTGGCGGTGCTCTGGGGACCATATGGGATGCTGGGAATCGAACCCAGGTTGGCTGCATGCAAGACAAATGCCCTACCGTCTGTTCTATTGCTCCAACCCTTTATTTTTTCTTTTTGTTTTTGTGCTGGGGATCCAACCTGTGGCCTATCGCATGCTTAATTGCTGAGCTATGTCTGGGCAAGAGGAACCTTTTTCTCTGGAAGGTAGCTAAGCCGTGGGCACCACACACACACACACACACACACACACACACACACTCACATGTTGTGTGTGAATGGTGCCACTTGCACCCCAGCTCCACTGACTAAGAGGGGGCTGAAGCCCTCAGATGCCAGAGCCTTGCCAGTGAGGTGTTGGAGCAGGTGCCAACCGAACGCTGTGAGGACCACATAAAGGGCTGGGCAATGTGGGTGGGTCAGGCAGGCCCTCTGAGAGGCCGAGAAAGAAGCCCCTGGACCAAGCAGTTCTCCTCTCCCCCTCCCCTCTTGCTTTGTTTCCAGTTCCGGCTGTGTGGATCAGATCAGCAGGTATAAAGATTCACCTACACGAAGCCTCCTGGGCCTCACACAGTCCTCACCTGCCTCTCCTTCTGGTCCCAGGGCAACAACCACAGCAGGTCCTAGATCCCTGGATGGGGCTGGGGAACTGGGGATTGATTCATCTGTCTCATCAGGGACTTCTGGATGCAGTCTCCCCAGGGCCTCCCTAAAACAGCAACCCTGTCTTTATGTGCCTTCAGACAGCACCTCCAACTCTCCAAACGTGTTAAAAAAAAAAAACCTGCTGTCTGAGAGCCAGGAGCCAGGGTAGGGGTGCCAGGGGAAAACATCGTGCCTCTCCAGCGCAGCCCCACACTGAAGAGGCAGAGGACAGGCACTCCCGAGTTCGTCTGACTCATGCTCCTGCGGCTGCGCATCCCATCACTTTTGCTTAAAAACTGGGACTGGGTGGGGGTGGGGAGCCCTCCAGCAGGAAGCCAATAGCTCCAGTGTCCACCTTTGAAATTCAGACCCTTCTCTCCAGGTGAGGATCCCACCCCACCACTCAAACCCCAAGTCAGCTGGCCCAGTTGGTGGCAGTTGGACCCCTTGTGAATCAGGATTTGGGAAGGACTGACCTCTGGCAGGCTGAGGACCCCAACCCCTGTCCCCCTCACTCTGGACTCAGCACTGATTGATTATAGAACCCCGGTGTCCAGGCACTACTCGGAGGTTGAATGGATGAAAGGGTTTGTGAACTGAAGGCCTCTCCAGGGGGTCACACTCTACCTCTCCAGAGGATCCCTTTCCTAGCTCCCAGGGCGCTGTACCCTGGGTCTTCATGTGGGGCCTCTTTGCCCCTGTCCAATGGGAAAGGGACTGAGGACAGGGGGTGGGGGCAGTCCCCATCTTCCTTCAGCCCTCCCTCCCACAAGGGGCATGTTCCAGCCAGGCTCCCACCTCCTCCAAGGGCTCAGAGCCTTGGGTCTCATCTCAGCCCAGAGGAGGGGGCGGGGAGCAGGGAGCCTCTGACCCTGGGGGTCCCACTGCTGTCCTGGGACCTGGCTCCTCAATGCTGTGGGAGCTGCCAGCTTTTTGGAATTCCTAATCGCTCCTGGTCCCAGTGATTGGCTGCTCAGCTCTGACCCCACTTGGGCTGCCGCCTGGTTGGATAAAAGGGGAATCTCCTTGGGGCTCCAGAGCATTAGGCACGGGCGGGGGCACTTGGGACCAACTTCGCTAAGCGGGGAACCCGCGGGGGGTGGGGGGAGCAAAAGACCCGCAAGCCTCGGCCCCTGCAAAGAGCCAGGAGATGACGGGGAAAGCGGGGGAAACGCTGAACAAACCCAAATCCGAGACAGTGGCCAAGAGTACCTCCGGGAGCGCCCCGGCCAGGTGCACCGGGTTCGGCATCCAGGAGATCCTGGGCTTGAATAAGGAGCCCCCTAGCTCCCACCCGCGAGCTGCCCTCGACAGCCTGGCCCCCGGGCACCTGCTGGCAGCGCGCTCAGTGCTCAGTCCCGCAGGAGTGGGCGGCATGGGGCTGCTGGGGCCCGGGGGGCTCCCCGGCTTCTACGCGCAGCCCACCTTCCTGGAAGTGCTGTCCGACCCGCAGAGCGTCCACTTGCAGCCTTTGGGCAGAGCATCGGGGCCGCTGGACACCAGCCAGACGGCCAGCTCCGGTAGGTGAGCGCGAGGCTGCGTGGCCGCTGACTCGGGTCCCGAAGTCCCCAGCTGTGCGCTTTCCCTGGAACCGCATGACCCCCTCCGGACGCAAAAGTTCGTGCCAGGCCGAGGGGTGTTCGCCGGAGTCTGGGGCCCCCGCGCCCCGCGAGGATGCTCCCCGCGCCCCCCGCCTCCCGGGCCCCGGCGGTTGGCGGCTGCCGCGCTGCGCTCTGGCCCCGGTGAAGGGCCCGGCTCTGCCGCGGCGCCCAGTCGCGGCTCCCCAGAAGGCCAGGGTTGAGGTGTCAGAAGCCACCGGGCGGGCTGAAGTCCCTTCCCCTCTCCCAGCTCCAAGGTTCCGGGAGTACTTCAAGGTTGTGCGGCCTCCAGGGGGACCCGCGCCTGGAGACCCGGGTCCAATCGGTGTGCGGGCAGCCCCGGCGTTGGCGCTCAGCTCCGGCCGCAGCCCCAGTGCCCAAAGTTGTCTCTGCGACCGCCGCAGCGTCAGTCCGGCTGGGGGATTATTTTTGGCCCCCACGAGCTAAGGAGCCCTGGCCACCGCTGGGAGAGCCGCTCTGCGCACCCGGGGACCCTGGATGCCCCCGCCGCGCTTTCCCGGCAGTGCCCTCCCGGGTTCTTGGGCGCGCTAGACAATCCCCCCTCTCCCACCGGGTTTTCCGTTGTCGATTTCGTTTTATCTTTGTTTTTATTTGGAGGAAGGGGGATAACGAAAAGTGGCGCATCGCCGTGTCTCTAGCCTGGTGCGGCCGCTGGAACCGGACTGCACCCTGGGGGACCCGCAGCCCTTCCCCGCGCGCAGCTCCCGGCGCCCGAGCTCAGCTCCTGGGGGCCAACTTTGGTCCCCGGCTGCAGGGCTACGAGCGCCGGCGAGATGCGGAGCCTGAGGCCCGCGAGGCTGCCTGGCTCCCGCGGCCCCTTGCTCCGGGCGTGCCGGGGCCTTGCTCGGCCTCTCTTCCAACGAAATCGATCCCAAACGCCCGGCTTCGGGTGCGGGGTGTGGGCAGCGCCTGCCGGGGAGGAAAGAGGGGACTCCTCATCTCTCGGGGAGACAGAGCCGCTGCCCGGGAAGGGGCCCGCGCGGCGTTGGGGGGCTCCTAGCGCGCCCGGGAGTGAACGAACGCGCTCCCCATTCTGCCGCCTGTGTCCTCCGCCCGCCTTTCAGATTCTGAAGATGTTTCGTCCAGCGATCGAAAAATGTCCAAATCGGCATTAAACCAGACCAAGAAACGCAAGAAACGGCGGCACAGGTAAGGGTCCCGCGGCGCGTCCCGCGACCTCTGTGGTCCGCCCGCCCGCACTTTGCCAGGCTCCCACTCAGGGGATCGGGGTGGCTCGAACTATCTTTTCAGCAACTACAGATTGGGGGGTGCAGGCTGCGCCTGGGCAGGGAGACAGATGGGCGCTGTTTGGAGGAACCCGTGACCCGGCGCCCGCGAGCCAGAGAAGGATGCGCGGCCGCCGGCCGGTGAGACGTACGGTCCAGGCTTTCTCCGAGTTGGCGAGACTGCAAGGCCCGGGGGTCGGGGTCACGCCCAGAAAGTGGGGAGGAAGACAGAGGCGACCCCACACCCACTCGTCCAAGGAGCTGGCCGGCCTTCTACAGCTCCCCGAGTCAGAACGTTGCCCCCCTCTCTGGCCGGCGCCTCTGCCGCTGCCCTTGACCAATTCCTTAGCCTCCTGGTCCCCGATTTCTGCACGAATGGAAAATGTTCCTTCGGCTTCTTTTCTCGCGTCTTCTTTTCCGTGAGCCTCGGTTTCCCTGTCTGCAAAATAGAAAAGGCGGGGGGTCTGCGTGAGGGTGGGTGCTGCCTGCAGCCCTCGCTGGAGTAGACTACACTGGGCGATAGAGCTTTAAAAATACCCTAAAATAACCAGAAAATGCACCAAGTTAGAATTCCAGAGGTGCCCGAAGGCATCGTGAAACCCTGTCCAGCCCTTGGTGTTTTCTCAAGCTCCAGTCCTCGCTATGAGAGGGTAAAGGAAAATAGGAAGGGGGCACCCCAAAAGACTAACTTCCCCCTACTCTCTGCAGGGGTTCCCCCAACTACTCTCTGGTTTCCAGGCCTTGGGGCCACTTCCACCTTCTTTCCCCTCATTTGTTCTCAGCATCTTTTGCCTTTCTCCAGGCACTTCCCTGCGCTTTCCTGGCAGAGCTGCCGACTGGCCTTACCAAGGGCTATCCCGCTGCCCTCTGCGAGCCAGGGTCCCGGGAAGGGGAGAGCTGTGACTGGTTTTCCACAGTCTTCACTTCCTTTCCCACCTGCAGTTCTTTTTTGTTTTAAATGGATGCAATTCGTTTGAGTCATTTATTAATAATTTTTTTTCATTCAGCAAATCTTCATTAAAACACCTCATTGGTCCCCCTCTCCTTCTCGGGTGTGTTGGGGGCAGACAATGGGTTCAGCTCCCCCAGCAGTGACAGGGGTCCACCCTGGAACTCCTTCTGTGGGATGCCTGCGTGAGCCACGGGGGTTCCTGCACCACCGGACAGCCTGAGAAGGCACCAACCTGGGGCTGCACCCCCTGCATCAGCCTCGCTGGCAGACCTGCAGCCCTGACCCCTGCCCGGGGTCCAAGACCCTCTGTCCTCTCCTCGAGCACCCTCTCCACCGCAGGCTTCCCTGTCCCTGTCCGAGGTTTTGGGTTATTTTAATGCAGGATGACAACAATAACCAGATAGGAGAAAGTGGCTACTGATTGCTTTTCATCCGTATAAAAATGTATTTTCTGAGCTTCTCTCCTTTGGGGTTTCCAGGCAAACTGGCCTGGAATCTGAAGGCAGGAGATGAGCATCTCTTATCCGCCAGAGCGTTTCAGGCTTAGCTGAGGTTGGAGCAAAGAGTGAGGATGGAGGACCAGAGAGAAAGCTGAGCGCAGGCATTGCATGCAGGAGACCTGGGTTCTGTCCCTGACACAGTGTACGTTTCCCCCCTCCCCTCCCAGCACTGCCAGGAGGGACACAGGGACACACACACACACACACACACACACAGAGTGAAGAGCAAAAGGAACCCCTGAGCAAAATTTGTTGTGGCCCCAAATCAAAGTCAACGAACTAACAAAAAGAGTCGGGGTGAAGCAGTAGCCTTGGGGATCTCCGTTCTCTTCCTTTGGTGGGGGACCTCGGCTCCCGGCTCCCGCACAAACTGGGTACAAAGGGAGTCCCAACGGGTCTTTGGTTCTGCATCTGGGCTCAGGGTTTGGAGTGCATTGTGGGGACATAGCTTTAGTCCTCCTCCACCCCACCCCCAGTTTGTGAATATCAAAGCTTCAACAGGACTTGCTCTGAGACTGGAGTTTGCCAGGTTGGGGGCTGGTTTTTGATTTGAGTTGAGAGCTCTTCCTGCTGGCCTGGGGCCCACCCACCCTTGCTCACTCCACGCTGGGCTGTGCACAGCGCTTTCAGATTTCGGCTTCGTTGGAAAGGATGAAGCATGGCTTGGGGTGTTTATCTGTATGCAGCAAAAGATTGGAAAGCAACAGCTATTTTAAATTCTGAAGAATTAACTTTGTGTATGCATAAACTCCCCCCCATCCCCTTCCCAAGAGAATAGGAGAAACGATTTGGAATCAAAGCAGTCAGTTTCCATAAAGAGCAGCCTGTCTGCCTCCTGTGCTCACCCCCCATCCTCCCCCAAGATACGGTATGAAACCCACAGACCCCAGCACAACAGCCGGCTTCCACTGGGGTGGGGGGAAGGGAGGGGAGGGCAGCACTGCCGTGTGGGTCCCATACCCCCACCCTGACCGGCCTTTCTCAGAACCTTCCATTGTTCCAAGCTGGACCAGGACCTCGGCCCCAGGCTTGTGAGCTCAGGCTCCTCTTGCTCACCTGGAACCTGGTGAAATTAAGATCCCAAAGAAAATGTGTGGGAGGGGATAGGGGATGGTTTATGCAGAAAAAGGGATCATGAGCCACCTCATGGGAGGCGGAAATTAATGCGTAGGAAGCTGTTCACTCGCACCCTCATGGAGGCTGCAGGATGTGTGTGGCTGGGCTGAGTCTGAAGCTGCTTCTGGCTCCCCTAGGTAACTATGAACAGCTGGGGAGGGGCTCAAAGGGAGCCTTACAGCTGGGGGCCACCTGAGTGGGACCCCACCCTGTGAGTGGGGTGCTGGCAAGGTGGCTCTTGCCTCCCGAGCACAGGAAGTGGGGGGTTCTCAGGGCTGTTCTTGGGTCTAGGTGGGTGCAGAGGAAGGTGGAGTACTGGTGTGAGTTGGGGGTGGAGACTCAGCTGGGGAGCTAGCTGCGTCTGACCGCTGTGGAGCCTCTCCTCAGTGCATGGTCACTCAGCGGGTGGGGTACCTGGAGAGCCCCTCTGGGAGCAGGTCGGGTACCTGGTGCAAGCCTCACCCTCTGGAGAAGGGACAAGGTCCTTGCAGGGCTCAAAAGTTCCTCTCAGCACCTTTCCCCACAAAGCACCCCTGGAAAGATTCCCAGCGTGAACTGTCACAGAGATGAGATGACACCCCTCCCCCCAGAAAGGAAGTGTGTCCTCCCCTCCCCCCATCCCCCCCACAAACACACGACCTCAGCTGGAGAAGAGGCTAGAGGGTGAAGCTGTGAGTTTGTGTATCTATGTGCATGGGAGTGCATGTGTGTGTGCATTTTGTGCCTGTGTGTTCAAATGCACATCACATGAGTGTGTGTATGTGCAGTCATGTGTGTGCCAGTGCCTGTGTGCCTGTGTGTATGTGACCATCAAGTGGACACATACACAATGGTGGTGTGTGTACGGTGGTGGGGGGCAGGAGGGAGGCATTATCCAGGGGCCATTCTGTCCCTTTCTGGAAGGCTCTTCCCAACCCCAAGTGTCTGGTTTTGCCCCCTCAGGACAATCTTTACCTCCTACCAGCTGGAGGAGCTGGAAAAGGCCTTCAATGAGGCCCACTACCCGGACGTCTACGCGCGGGAGATGTTGGCCATGAAAACGGAGCTGCCCGAAGACAGAATACAGGTAAGAGTCCCAGGACGAGGACTAGCTCAGGTTCTGAGCCAGCCTGGCACCCCACCTCCCGCCCCGGCCCCGGGCTCTCCTGGAAGTGGGAGCCAGTGGGCATCTACTTCACTGAGGAAGAGGAGGAGGAGGAGGAGGAGGAAGTGGAGGAGAAGGAGGAGGAGGAGGACTAGGAGGAGGCAGAAGAGGAAGAGGAGGACTAGGAGGAGGAAGACGGATAGTTGGAGGAAGAAGAGCAGGAGGAGGAAGAGGAAGAACAGGAGAAGAGGAGGATCAGGAGGGAGGAAGAGGAGGAGGAGGAAAGAGCAGGAGGAGAAGAGGAGGATCAGGAGGGAGGAAGAGGAGGAGGAAGAGCAGGAGGAAGACAGATCCTGGGGACATGGGAGAGAGTGAATTCTGGAGAGTCTCTACCAGCCAGGGTCTCTGCAATGGCAGTTATCCCCTGCTCCCAGGTCTGAGGCACCAGGCCTGGATGGGTGGGTCAAAGCAGCTTCTGGTTGGCTTCTCCCTACCCGCCCCCTCCTGCCTGATGCTCCTTTCTCCTCTCCTCATGAAGCCTGGCCAGAGCTCCTGTTCCTTTGCATCTTACAGCCCCTCAATGTGGTTGGGACCTGGGCCACAGGTGTGACTCATTGAAATCCTCCTGGTTCTGAAATGAGTCTGGGGGCTTGAGTGAATGTGCCTGCAGAGTTCCAGCTGGAATGATCAGGGAAATATCCCCACCCCCATTAAGTTCTTCCTCCTCGTCTCTGGGGCATTGAGTAGCTTAACTGGAGAAGCTCAGGCAACTGCAGGGGACATAGGGCATCTTCCAGAGTACAGAGTCCACCATCAGACTCCACCATCAGGCAGATGGTTCTCAGAAAGAAGAGGAACTGATGGTTTTCTTAGACCCCTGGTGGGGTGGAAGGAATGAGAGGGATGGGGAACATTCCAGATTTGGAGCAAGGACTCCGAGCAATAGGACAGCAGGTAGAGTGCTTGCCTGGCACATGGCTGACCTGGCTCAATCCCTAGCACCCCATATTCCTGAGCACAGAGTCTGGAGTAGGCGCCAAGCATAGCTGAGTGTGGCTCAAATACCAAAAAGAGGAGAGGGAAAAAACTCCAAAGATTTGGGGGGCTGGAGCAATAGCACAGCGGGTAGGTAGTTTGCCTTGCACGCAGCCGACGCAGGTTCGATTCCCAGCATCCCATGTGGTCCCCTGAGCACCGCCAGGAGTAATTCCTGAATATAGAGCCAGGAGTAACCCCTGTGCATCGCTGGGTGTGACCCAAAAAGAAAAAAAAATAACTCCAAAGATTTGGAGCCGCCTTAACTGTACGGTGACCCCTTTTATGTGAATGAAACAGAAGTGGAAAGGAACTGTTCCCATCAGGTAATGGTCCAGAGCAGCTCACCGCGGAGCTTGGGGAAAGCAGGGGCGGGGGGACTCTGCTCCCTAAGACCCCTTACATGTTCCTAGTCTGTGCGTTTGCACTAAATCGGAGTGGGGCTAGAGAAGGGACGGAAATAAATGGTGTGGCTTGCTTGTTGTCCTCCTGTGGAGAATGGAAAAGGAGTTATGAAGTGCTTTTCTAGAAGAGTCTGCCTCTCTGCTGGAAATCTATTTGGAACTGCAGCCGGTGACTTTAGTCATTGACACTAATTACCCATAAGCAGATTATCTGTTTGCTGCCTTCATCTTCACTCCCCCTCCAACTGGGTTCCTGTCGAGGGGGGAAGGGTGGTTGTTGATTCTGAATAGTGTGTCAGTGGGTATGTATATGTGCATAAGAGTGTGAGTGTGGGAGAGTACGAAAGTGTGATTGTGAGTGTGTGGGGTGTGTGAGTATGTGTGAGCGTAAGATGTGTGTGAGTGTATGAGTATGAGAGTCTGTGAGTGTGTGTGAGTGTGCATATAAGTGTGTGGATGAGAGCATGTCTGTGTGAGAGTTGTGTGGATGAGAGTGTGTGTGTCTGTATGAGAATGTATATGAGAGGGAGTGTGCGTGCGAGTGTTATGAGGATATATGTGTCTGAGATTGTATATGAGAGCTTGTGTATGAGTATGAGTGTATCTGTATGAGAGCACATGTAGCAGTGTATCAGAGTGTATGTATGTGTATCTGTGTGAGTGTGCATGAAAGCATGTGTGTATGAGTGTGAGTGTGTGTATGATCGTGTGTGAGTGTGTGCAAAAATGTGTGTATGACAGCATGGGAGTGTGTATATGAGAGCGTGTGTGTGTGTGAAATTGTATATGAGAGCAAATGTGTCTATATGTATGAGAACATTGTGTATGAATGTGAGTATGAGAGCATGTGAGTGTATGTGTCTATGAGAGTGTATGAGAGCATGTGTGTATGTGTATCAGTGTATATCAGTGAGTGTGTATGAGAGTGTGTGCATGTGTGTAAGTGTGTGTATAGAGCATGTGTGTGAGTGTGACTGTGTATAAGAGTGTATATATGAGAGCATGTGAGTGTGTATGAATGAGTGTGAATGTATGAGCATGATTGTGTGTATCTGTGTAAAAGTGTGTATGAGAACATGTGAGTGTGTGTATGAGTGTATGAGCATATGAATGAGTGTTAGTGTATGAGCATGAAAATGTGTATCTGTGTGTATGAAAGTATGTGTATATGAGTGAGTGTATGAGCATCAGAGTGTGTGTTGGTGTGTAAGACTGTGTATGAGAGCATGTGAGTTTGAGTGTGACTGTGTGAATAAGAGTGTGTGTGTATATGAGAGCGTGTGAGTGGGTATGAATAAGTGTGAATGTGCGAGCATGAGAGTGTGTATCTGTGTGAGAGTGTGGATGAGAATGTGTGTGTATGAGTGTCAGTGTGTGAGCGTGAAAGTGTGTGTGTCTGTGTGTGTGTGAAAGTGTATGTGTATATGAGTGTGAGTGCATGAGTATGAGAGGGTGTGTGTGTGTCTGTGTAAGAGTGTATGAGAGCATGTGTGTCTGTGTGAAAGTGTATATGAGAGTGTGAGTGTGTATCTGTGTTTATGTGAGAGCATTGTGTATGAGTGTAAGTCTGTGTGTAGGAGAGCATGTGAGTGTGCGTATGAGTGTGCGTAGGGAGCATGTGTGTATGCGTGTGACTGTATGTGTATTGGAGTGTGTGGGTGTGTGTATGAGACAGCCCAAGCCAGTCCCTGTGTGGAGGTAGCCCTCCCGTCCACCTGCTCTCCATTAACACCCAGCTGGTTCTGCTGGGCCCCGAGATGGGTGGTGGTTGGCAAGTCCTATTGGAGGCCACGTCGTCCTCCCGCTCATTCGCTGGATGGTGAGGACCTGTGGGGAATCTAGGGTGGGGAGAGTAAAGGTGAGACGCTCTCAGGGCTTTCTTCGGCCAGACCATCCTGAACGTGCCCTGTCTCGTCTCTTCACAGCTGTGAGTGCTTCTGATCTCTTTTTTTCTTCTTCTTCTTTTTGGGTCCTACCCGGCAATGCACAGGGGTTACTCCTGGCTCTGCACTCAGGAATTACTCCTGGCATTGCTCGGGGGACCGTATGGGATGCTGGGAATCGAACTCGGGTCGGCCACGTGCAAGGCAAATGCCCTACCCGCTGTGCTATTGCTCCAGCCCGCACCCCTAATCTCTGAGCCCTGCTTGGTCCCCGGCTACCTGCTACCCCCGAAGGTGATTGCGAGTGGCCAGGTGGCCCTGCCTCCGTGTTCCACAGAGTGTGTGTCTGTGTGAAAGTGTGTAGGAGAACGTGTGAGTGTGTGTATGAGTATATGAATGAGTGTCAGTGTGTGATGGTGAAAGTGTGTGTGTGTGTGTGTGTGTGTATGAAAGTATATGTGCATGTGAGTGAGTGTATGGGACAGATCTTGGTGTGAGCCAACAACCAGCAGCTGCCGTCTATCAGGAAGTTCCCACCTGCTGCAGGGAGGGCACCCAGGAAGCAGGGAGGTGTGGGCAGTGGCCACGGGCCACTGCCTCCAGGGCCACAGGCACCTCCAGTTTCCTGCCGAGGCAATGGCCCTCACTCAGCACAGCTCCAGTTGCTCATTTGTGATAACAGTGTGTGAGGTGCAGACAGAGGCCATGAGCCATAGGTGACACCTGCCCAGTGCTCTTGGCTTCAGCTCTGATCTCATGAAATCCTTCTGATAGCTGGTGGGGCACAGACCAGGAGCCTTCATAACTGAGAAACTGAGGCACACAGCGACTTACCCAAAGCCATCTATCAAGAAGACGGGGCTGGGGGACGGGGACCCAGGTCAGCGTCTAGAACCCCGCTTCTCGCCCTTGAAGTCTGCTTTGACTTGAAGCTGGCGGGACAAAGAAGGTTTGCGGTGACAGAGGAGAGATCTGTAGCAAACCTTTATTTTAAATAAATAAACTTTTTTGGGGGAGAGAGATTGTTGGACCAACCTGGCAATGCTTGGGGCTGTCCCTCCCTGTGAGAGTGAACCCCTAGTGCTGCTCAGGGGAGTTTTTCATGTTTGGTTTGGGTGTCTACACCTCACAGTGCTTCAGGTCTACTCCCAGCTCAGTGCTCAGGGGTTGCTCCTGGCGGTGCTTGGAGGACTTTGTGGTGCCAGAGATCAAATCAGAGTCAGCCACTTGCAAGACAAGTGCCTCAATCCGTTACTGTCACTCCGGCACATAGAGAAAACCTTCTTTATAAGAGTCAGTATGGAGGGGCTGGCGAGACAGTGCCATGGGCAGGCAGAGACTCGCCTCGCATGCTGCTGACCCATGTTCAGTCCCCGGCACCCTGTTCTCCTAGGCATGGGTACCCTGGCCTCCTAATAGTGCCCCCAATCATTGTCTCTCAACTCGCTGATGGAGGGGGCACCTCCTAGGAAGACAGAGGTGCTCTGGCAGACCTCTGCCCACTGTTCCAGGCTCTGTGTGTGTGAGTGTGTGTGTGTGTGTGTGTGTGTGTGTGTCCGGGTGAGGCTGAAGGGTCATTATTAGAGCTTCCTAGGCTGAAGCTAGACATCCACAGGTTGGTCAAGGTCCCAGGTCTGCACTCCCGATACTCATCTCCTAG